AGGTCCCCACTTTATTACCTCCTTATTTCTATTCATAGCCTTCCCTCCACGTGGACTCTCCTCCCGTTTATTTTCTCCTTTTGAAATTCTACTTCTCCAGGATCAATTTCAAAGGCCACTCCACCGTGAAGGTCTCCTACTCTCTACAGGATGTGTCCTCAGCCCCCTCAAACAGGCAGGGTTAGCTTTCTACTGCAGATATTTACCGTATGGCTTATTCTCCCACAAGTTCCCAGCAAACACTCTCTTTTCTCTTTGCATCCCCTACAGAAGGGCATTTTTAAACTGCAAGTTTCAACCTGTGAATAAACGGGAAATTTAAAAAAAAGAATGGAAATAGAATAGAAAATATCAAAGTGCATCACACATAGTAAGGATAAGTGTTCTTTCATGACACTTGTTTCAGTTATGTGTATGTGTGTGCATGAATGATGTAGTGGGTTGCAAAGTTAAACATATTCGTTACTGTGAGTCATGGTCCAAAACCGTCTGTAAGCCACTGGTCTACAGTACCTATCCTATAGTAATGCCTCATACTCTATGAAATACTTACTGTATTGCAAAAATTGATGAGTATAATATAATCCATTTATTACAACTTCAAAGGTTCCACTTTGAAAGAATATTAAGTATAATGCCTATTTGATCACAAGTAAATGAATTCTGGCCTATGTGAAGTTATTGGGGGAGGGAGGGTTAGTAAAGAGGGATCTGAATATTTCTATTATATTTCAATAGACTTTCTCCCCAATAAGTAAAACGTGTTTATATTTAAGGACAATTAACTACAGTTTTGACTAAGTTCATTTTGGGAAACTTTTCTCATTCACTGAAACCACTTCATAATTACAAAGTTCTGCATCTTTAAAATACTTGGTATAGGTAATTCCACCATGATTCATAAAAGGATCTTTCAGAGACACCATGAAAGCCTTTGTTCGAGTTCTTTCTTTGCCCAAGATGCCTCTATGTCCTCTCAATACCCCCACCCCCACCATCTGTAAAATCCCATTCATCTTCCAAGGCTTAGTTCAAAGGCCACCTTTTCCATGGAAGCCTTTTTTTTTTTAACTCAGTTTTTCCTCTTTCCCTCCTCCACCACCCACCCCAGCCCCAAGTATGGTCTTTCTCTCTTCTGAAGCACCAGTGTTGAAAACTTCCTTTTTTATTTGTATACGTGTCTCACTCCCCTACTAGACAATAACACACACAATCCGTGGTTTACTCATCTCTGCATCCCCTCCAGCGACCAGCACAAGGTCTTGTCCTTAAGAGATCATCAATAAATATTTGTGAAGCGAATAAATGAAAGCAACCGTTAGCCAGTTCAAAGGGATGGTCATTAGTATTTTAAGGGCCCTGAGGAATGGCTTATAGGCCCAGCAGCTGATCAAAAGCTGGAGGAGGAGAAGAGGAGCAGAGGGAAATGAGGTGGAAGGATGAGAAGAGACACCATTCCTCCAATACCCGCCCCTGGAAACTTACTGAACCCCCACCCTTCAGGGATTCAACTCTACCGAATGAAGCTATGGACCTGGGTGCAGGACCAGCGCCTTCACCTCATTCCAAGTCCTCCACTCTGGCTTCAAACTAGAAATGGGAAGGGGAAGCAGAGGTGGAAATGAGAGCTACCCTTCTCAACTAAGGTATGGCTGAAAAGAAAAAGTGAAACAGCTCCCTGGACAATTCAGGCTCAAAAGGCCTCCCTTGAAAAATAAGTATGGGTGTTTCTGAGTCAGGGGAAGGGTGCAAGGAGGCGGACGAGACGGCTCTTGAATCATCAACTGATTGTCTATATCGACTATATTCGACAGCACTGAGATTTTTTCTTCATATTTTCCATACAGTCATTTGGGGACACTTTCTGTGAACACTAGACCAAGCTACCTAAAGTTCAAAGCCACAATCCCAACTAACAAACTGCAATTTGTTTGACTGGAAAACGATGCCCACCAATTAGAAAAAATTATTAGGGATTAAAATATCATTTTATTGTGCCATTAACCTGTACCTTCCCCCACCCTCTCCAAGGAAAAGTGTTTTTCTAAAATCAATTAAAGGAAGAAGTTTCTAGTGGTCCTTATTTTAAATTTATATATACTTTATAAGTTAATTGATATAGGGTAGTCGTAATATCCTAAATCATGGTATTTTGTTTTTTAAATTTTAGATCAACATTACTTAGGGCTCTGACCTTCTCTTTCTTTGATATTTTAACAGAACCTTAACTTTCAGTCCATCAAGGTTTTATTTTGTAATTAACTGCTGAGCCACCCTCATAAACTGGCAGACATTTGCAGTACTGCAGAAAACGCACTGGATTTGAAGTCAGAAAACTGAGCTTTGCAATGAATGCTTGGTTTGAATGCAGCTCCTCCAGTTCTAGCTCTGTGACCTTGGGCAGGTTACCTGATCTTCCCCCACCCTCGAGTTCCCAATCTGTGAAATGGGAATAATAACAGTACTTGCTTCCTAAGGTTGTTGTGAGGACGAAATGACCTAAAACATGCAATGTATTTAGAACAGAGTTAAAACATGCAGTGTACTTAGAACAGTGTCTGGTAAATGGTAAGTGTTCCGTAAATGTTAGTTTAAAAATTCTGCTGTCACTTGTTTCACGGTCTCAGTAAAGTCATTTTGCAGTTCAAAGTCTGCATCTCCTTGTCTACCACATGGGACTACTACCACTGACCACCTCCAGGATTGTTATGCAATTAAAACAACAAAACAGTGGATACGAAAACATTTGACACACAGAAAGTACTCAAATGTTACTTATTTTGATCCCCTATAAGCTTAAAAGTAAACCATAAAATTGAGTTAGAAAATACCTTCCAAAAATTCATCCACGACTGAGAAAATGACTGTGTTTGAAATGCATACTCAAAGAGTTTGGTTGATTTTTAACTTATCAGCTTTTGTAAAATGTAAATTCTACATCTGTAAACTAGAAACACCACCTCAGTCAAGCCAAACTGTCCCATATCGTAAGCTAGAAAGCCTGCACACTTTCATAAGCCAAAGAGAAACTGATACATTGATTAAAATCTGATTGCATGTATAGCAGCTTTTTAAAAATGCTAAATTTTTTTTTCATCTTTAAAATGACAAACGTACTGCAGCTAATGTAAATTTCAAGTCAATTCAACAGACATTTATTGTGTAACTGTGCTCCAGGTAACTCACCTGGGAACTAAGGATGTAAAGGGTAATAAAGCTCAGGCCCTGGGCTGCAAAAGCCCACAGATTATGGCTGATAATTTCAAACTATTACTTGTAAAAGGCATGAGGGGGCTTCAATTTGAGTCAGCAAGCAGACGGGCAGCATCAAAATATGACGAAACAATAAGTTCTTCCCTTTGACTGAAAAACTGCCCTTTAAAAACAAGAGTCATTTTTAAAGCACAGGTTCTATCTGGAAACCTATTGAATTTATGCCAGAAACCAACATTTCTCAACGTAAACCTGTAAAATAATAGGTATCTGTAAATGAAAGGCTGCAAGAACCCCAGGAGCAACAACACAGTAATTAGCAACTTTTATAGCGTAATAACATGTTTCATATTCTTTTTACACTGGCTCTTTGAAGTTTCCAGTGTAATATATAAAAGTTTTATTGCATTAGGGCCCATCCTTGTGTATTTTATAGGCGCCAGCATTATGCAGAGCAAGCTGCATTTACTCATCATCGGCTCTTTTAGAAACTGCTCAATAATGCGCTAGCTTTGTGTCCAGTTGAGTTTGTGACACCTGGCTTTAGAAAGATAACAGTCACCAGAAGCCTAAATCACTGAAAATATACATATATCCACAAATCGTCTCCACGACCTATAAATCATAAAGCAGTTTAGCTTTAAAATCGTACTCTGCATATTCATGTGCACACCACTTGCAGTTTTAGACACATGTGAACTCTTTACTGAATTAAAGAAAAAAAAAGAAAAAACACCTCAGCCTACCATAAGCGATTACCAGAGGCAGAACAGAGTGCAGCTAATATGCTTGTTCCAGCAGATGTTCGTTCCCGTAAATATTAAACATAACACAAGTTCCTCCAGGAATATGCAGGCAGTAATTTTACCACCTGAATAGGGCTCCTTGGAACATTTGCGGGGGGGTGGGGAGAGATAAGAGGGATGATGAAGCAGCCAATAGGATTTTTAAGACACCCGCAACTAGAATTAAACTGCTTCCAGCGGCGATTTACCTACAGCAGCTCCTCAATGTGAGAAGCCCGAGCATCAGAACCCGGAGGGCTCCCCAGGCTGCGAGGTGTGAGCGTGGAATAAAGAGAGGCACTGGGCGCCGGAGTGGGGTGGGGTGGGGTACAACTGCGGTGAGGTGTGAAGAAAGGGCCCAAAGGAATGTGAACCTCGAGGAAATGAGTCTCCCTGGGCCAAGGCCTCTGGAATTCCCGCACGGAGAAACACTCGCCCGCCCCCCGCCCTGGGTGTTCACTTTCCATCTCGGGTGGGAGCGGGTGGGAGACAGAAAGGATGCAGCCGCCAAAACCCGGCGCAGACAGGCAGGAGTCTGGAGCATCCTCTAAGGGCACTTCGCGGCAGCACCAACTCCAGGGGGTCGCTGGGGTGAACCAGAGGCTCTTGGAGAAGAGGGAGGGGGCCCGAACGGAGGGAAGGGAGGTGAGAGGGGCTAGGGGGCCGAGGGGTGGATCCCCGGGCACTAGTGACACGTTCTAGAAATCAGTTCTTTTTCTCTCCATGGTTGCGCTCTGCCCCTGGCTCCCCAGATCACCGGCCCCTGGGCTGGGGAGGGTAGCACCGGGGGGAGGGGACAGGAAAGGGGGGCAAGAAGACGGGAAGGCGGCCTTGCATCCACCCGGGGAAGGCAGGAAGGAGCCGGCGAGGCGGGCGCCCCCGACCCACCCCACCCCCACGGCGGCCGGCCGCCCAGAGCCCCCGGCCCAGGTGAGGGCGCGCGGGCCGCCGCGGCCGCGCCTCGCCGCTCCCGCCTGCCCGGGCGCCGGCACCGGGACTCACCACAGCGACTCGAGGTCCCATTCCTGGAGCAGGGCTAAGTCGAAGCTGTCCATGGTGGGAGGTGTCAGCGCCGCCGTCGCCGCCGCCGCCGAGGCTCGGGCCGCCCGCGCGCTGCAACGAAAGGCGCCGCTCAAGGTGCATCCCGGCCGCGCCGGAGCGGCCGCCGCCCCCGGGTCTGGGCTCCGGCGCCCCCCACCCCCGAAACCCGGCCGGCCCGGCGGCAGCGGCCGGCGCACTCACCCGCTCGCCGGCTCGCGCGCAGGCACACTCCGGAGAGAGCGGCGAGCTCGCCGCGCCGCCGCTGCCGCCGCCGCCGCCGCCGCCGCCTCGCCCCCCCGCGCCCGCCCCTCCGCCCCTCCGCCCCTCCGCCCCGCCCTCGCGGCGGCCCGGCCCGCTGCAGCCGCCGCCGCGGAGCTCCGCGCCCGCCGCCCGCCCCTTTCTCCTCGGGGAGGCGCGTGTGCGCGGGCGAGGCCGAGGCGCGCGCCCCGGGAGCCCCGCGCCGCGCCCGCCCCGCGCGCCCCTGCGCTCCCCGCGCCGCCCCTCCCCCGGCCCCGGCTGCCCGCCCGACCCGCGGCGGCCTGGGGTGCCCCAGGCTGTCCCGGGAGGGGGGACCCAGGGAGAGGCGGCTGCGGCGCCGGGCGGAGGGGGATGCTGAGCCGGCCAGGCCTGCCGCATCTGCCGCCTCTCGCCTCGCCGGCCCCACCCGGCCCTCCTCGGTGGGCACGCACTTCTTTTTGAGGCCGGGATTCCCTTGACCCCGCTGGGCGCTCCCGCGGGCCGGGTCCAGACCCGGAGTGGGTGCTGGGAAATTCCCCGGCCGCCCCAGGCGCGGGGAGAGTTAACTGTGCAGCTTACGGCAGCACCGTAAACAAATCGTTGAAAATATCTAGAGTGTAAGTTAAGTGAAATAAAGGGGAGTCAGGGAGGAAAGCTCTTCTGACACGACCTGAGTTTGGCCTCCACTGGGGGTCCCACCATCCTCCAGCTGGCCGGTCCCTGGAAACCAACCTCTTTTCTTTTTATTTATTACAGGGAAAGGGGACAGGCCTCTGGGTGTAGACTGCAAACTTCCCGCCCCATCTCCTGTCTGGAGCGCTGGAAGGATGATAGAGTATCATTGTGACTCCTAAAAATCAAGTCCGTGTTATTATTACTTGCTTGGTTTTAAAAAATATTTTCCCCTCCCTTGCTTTTATAGACGTGCTAAGAAGCCCACGTCTAGATTTGGGCCTTAGATCTGTTTCTCTACCGCTGGCCAAAACGGGAAACCGCTCCTCACTCCCCTGACTCTCCTGTCCTCTTGGCCACAGCTCTGGGAGCCTCTCTCGGGATTCCACAGAATTCCTGGAGAGAGCAGTACAGAGCAGCGTCGTTAATCCCATCATTTGCACCAAACTCCCAATCCCCTGCCATAAGGGAGGCCCTTCTGGTACTCTCTCCTTTGTTCATTCTGGACAAGGAGAACTACTGACTGAAGCTGCCAGAAATCTAGACCCTTGGGTGGAACTCACAGGAGCCCTCCAGGGTCAAGCCTAGGAGTCACCCTCCTCACCTCCCTGACCTCTGCAGGAGGATTAACAATCTCAGTTTGGAGAACATGTAGAAGAAGAAAAGACCAATGAGAATTATTTCCTATTTGGGGTTGAATTACAAAACACTCAGCCTCCTTCCTCCCTCAGCTCTGGAGTAGTCCTGCCTTTATTAGCATCCATACCTAATGTGCAAAATGTACAACAATAAATTAAGGCAGAGTGAGCATCAACATAGTTTGAGGAAACGGAATTGTTATTTTACATGCTTACAACTCCCAGCCCCTAAAATCCTCTCTCATTAATTGAAGGTAGTAACAGGGCTACAAAAGAACAAAGAGACTGTGAATACAGGAGAAAGTACAGGTGTGAAGGGCCGTCTTCAATCCCAGTCTACAGTGCATTTGGAGAGAAAGAAAAAAATCTGTCTTCTTAATATCTCCTTAGCATAAGCCTGGTTGGAAATGTTTGCTCTGGCAAAAGTGGGATGCCTGAGCCATCCAGACAGCATTCCCAGGAACAAAGGATGGGGGTGGAGGTGGAGGAGGGCGAGAGGAACAGCCCCTCTCTGGCAGAACTGCCAGTTCCACTGCCTGAACAAGAAATGCATCCTGTCCCCGTGCTCGTGGCTGCAGCCGGGAAGCCTCTCCAGAAAGGAGCCCTCCCGCCCATCACAGAGATCTGGCTTTCCTTCCCTTCCCACCACATCTGTTTATACAAAGGAGGCCTGAAGAACAAACAGAACCATGTTTACTGGGAGTCCCATCTCAGGCTTGAAGCTCAAGATACAGATTTGCCCTCACCATGGAGGCTGAAGATAAATAGATGGTTCCGGAAAAGGAAAGGAGAAAGCCCTGGGGGCATAGAACTGGTACAGTGGTTTACTCCTAAAAAGCTTCTCCCCCAAAGCCACGTAGCAATGGGTATGTTTATACTAGAATTTAACATGGTGCCTCGTGTTAATACATAAGTGTACTTCAGCCTAAAGCAATTTCACTTGTGGGTATTTAAGATTTTGTCTTCAGGAATAGCACTTATTTTCTGTTTGGGGCGTCTAACATAGGGGAAGTTGCATTAATACTTTTATTCCCAGTGTATGTTTTTGTGTATAGTGTCCAGTTGGAGAATAGGGGCTTTTGAAGGAACCCAAATAATAGTTGTAGATACCATTTTTACTAAGTCGTTATGGAAATAAATCTAAATTAATGGTATTTACAAGTAAAATGTAGAACAGTTAATGAGAACCTTTATAGGGAGATCTTTTTTATCATTATTATTTATCTGGTTTATTAAGATGTTCCCATTATCCTCCAGCCCCTAGGTACACGAACCAAAACAAGTGCTTAATCTGGTTGCCAAAATTTTAAATCCTAATACAAAGCAACAAAGGGCTTGGGCTTCCTGGGATTAGAATGCCAGAACAAAAATGGGAGACTTTTTGTAAAGGAGTAAGAGAATACCTAAATTAAAAATAAAAATAAAAATGGGTGTTTCCTCTGAAGCTGATGTAGCCTTGTGCTTTAATGTTAAAGCCCTTGAGACTTGAGGGACCTCTTCCCCCAGATAGTTGTGGGTGATACTGCAGAAAGCCTCGTGGGGAGGCGGCTGAAGGGGAGGAGGTGCTCGGCTTCCTAGGTCAGGTTTGTTTGTTTAGGCTAAATCTATGAACGAAAGATGCTGAGAAATGAATCCTACTGGGTCCAGGGGAGGCATACACGTGGACTTATCGAGGACCCCCCTCACATCCCGCCAACCTGCAATAGACCCAGAAGCAAATCCGTGGCATCCAACTAAGATCTCCCTTTGGACACGAATTGAGGGAACAGAAACTACGTGGCTTTATCAATTCATGCCTTATTCTGAAGATGTGGCTGCAACTCAGAGGTTGGTTTTGTGACCAGGTGAAAATTTTTCTTTTGTAATCCCACCATTCCCCTAGAAAAATATGTCTGGCCAAAGGCCAGCCATGCGGGTGGTCTTGCTGGAAGGTGATGGGAGCCCCTACTCCACCTCCTCCAGCGTTGTGTGGCACTGCACTCTCTCTCCTGTTCCAGCAAGGCTGCAGATGAATCAAGCAGTCTGCTTCTCCTTCCAGAGCCTTCTTGGGTGTTTGTAACTCTAAGTAGGGATTGCAGGACAAGCCCTCTAGGCTTTCTGCTTGCAGATTACGTGGTAGTATGTCGAGCCGCAGGACAGCTTGGGTTTTAATCCACCTGGGAGTTCTGGCATCTCCAGGCCTTTCCCTCTTCACTGCTATCTCAGAGTGGTTCTAGCCTAGGATCCGAGGTGCCTTCCTTTTTCTATTTTTTTCATCATTCACTAGGTCCCGAGCAGATGGTGTGGCTGTGCTGGCTGTCATCACTCCTCCTATGTTTCCATGGAAACATGGGGCATAGGGACCATCTCTGCCTTGGGCTCTCTGACAGTATCCTCTGGCGGAGAACTTCAGCACTCTGGCTCCCTCCCCCTTGCCTGCCCACGTCCTGGAGAGCTTGAGAATGTTCTGAGGCCCTGGAAGCCAGGGTCATTTCAGAGATCACCTAAGGACATACTCCCCACAAAGGGTTGTGAACTGGCTGGAAAGGGGAGGGTGAGGGGTGCCAATACCCCAGTCATGTGGCTGAGACCGATTTGCAATGGTGGCATATTTGGACTGTCTGTCCCCTCAGCCAGATTCCATAATGGCTGATTATTGCCCAGATTTCGGAAGACATGCTCCTAAGGTTGCATCTGCTCATCAGGTAACAGATATTTAACGAGTGTAAGTATGTTACTGACATTTTACACTTTACTGACATTCTACCCCCTCCATGTGCATTCGTTATTTTTTTTTTTTTTGTACAAAAACAGGTTTTCCCTAAGGAAGGTACCTTCCTCAAAGTTTCCAACATCCTCCTGCCTACATATTTCACTTATATAGCCGCTAAGACATTAATTAGATTCAGAAGTCCATAGAAACAGTAGAGCTGGGCAAGGTCAGAGGCCAGGCAGGGCAGAGAAAAGAGCGAGGAAAATGACCCTTGGGAGAGGGTAAGGAAGCAGAGGGAAATTTTTCATGCCATTCAAGTTCCAAATAAGACAAAGATAATTTCAAAATATGGTCAACTACCACAACACTGTTTAGAGGATTAAAGTATTGTCCAATTAAAGAGTTCTTTTTATAAAAAAGTTGATTTGGTATAAGAATTCCATGCATCAACTTCTCTCGTGGTGGTCACTCCTTATGCAGTGGGTACAAAAGCCTAGTGTGTGAAGCTCATCACATTTTAAAAAAGAAATGAAACAAATCAGGCACATGTGCTGAAAACAAAAATGCCAGTGGAAAAGTCATAGGCTCTTCATAAAAGTGGATCAGAAAAATATTTCCTATCACAGATCATGTCTTTCGTGCATGCTGACCTACTTGGAGGATAATAGCATCGTTTGAGATACGAGAAGATCGCTTAGTGCTGGTAACAAGAACCAGTCACCCTGACTTAAGACTTAGTATCCCCACTGGCTCCTTGTCCTGCTTCTTCAAGATGTGCATTAACCATCATGCAAAATTCAAGGACTCTGAACCTGTTGGGAATAGGCAATAAG